CAGTTTCCTACTTTTACTAAATGCAGGTTAGCAGTCCTGTGTGTTTAGTCATGGTTTATGAGGACCAAGTATGTCTATTGGATGTGACTTAGCAGTAGGTTGTTGTTTTATTAAATCTGTGTGTTTCTTCATGGTATATGAGGACACAGTATGTGTAGGTTTACAATGGTTTACATAGTGCTAGCAGTAGACTATAGATTATAACATGTTTCTTCATGGTTTATGAGGGCATAGTAAAGGGATAGTTCACCCAAAAGTACAATTGTGTCATCATTTGCTCACCCTTTAGTTGTTTTAAATCTTTATGGGTTTATTTTGTCTGTTAAACACAAAAGAAGATGGAAACCTGTAACCATTGATTTCCATATTTTTTGTGTTTTCTATTATGGAAGTCAATGATTGCAGGTTTTCTTCTTCCATCAAAATACATTGTTTTGTTGTTTATCAGAAGAAATAAACCCATAAAGGGTTGGAATGCTTTGGGGTATATTAATAGTAAGTACATTTTCATTTTTGGATGAACCATCCTTTTAAGTGCTAAAATGACAGTTTCCTATTTCTACTAAATGCAGTGTAGCAGTCCTGTGTGTTTAGTCATGGTTTATGAGGACCAAGTATGTCTATTGGATGTGACTTAGCAGTAGACTATTGTTTTATTAAATCTGTGTGTTTCTTCATGGTTTATGAGGGCATAGTTTGTAATGCAAAAATTAAAACAGTTAGTAAACGAATGTAAAATTTTCTTTATCTTTGCTTCTCTCTTTCAGTACCCCAATGAGCTAAATGCTTCGACAAACACAGACCTGTCTCCTACAGAGGTTTGTTAATTCTTTTGTCAAGCTATTTTGACACTCCTTAAAGGGATAGTGCACCCAAAAATGACAATTGTGTCATCATTTGCTCACCCTTTACTTGTTCCAAACGTTTATAAGTTTAATTATTTTGTTAAAGACAAAATGAAATACTTAAAAAAAGATGAAAACCTGTAACCATTGACTTTCATATTATTTGTGTTTTCTATTGTGGAAGTCAATGATTGCAGATTTTCTTCTTCCATTAAAATATCTTGTTTTTTTTGTTTATCAGAAGAAATAAACACATAAAAGTTTGGAACACTGAAGGGTAAATTCATAGTAAGTAAATGTTAATTTTTGAGTGAACAACCCCTTTAAGTGCTAAAAGGACAGTTTCTTATTTCTACTAAATGCAGTGTAGCAGTCCTGTGTGTTTTGTATTGGTTTGTGAGGACATGATTGGTTTTGCGAGACTTAAAGCTTTTAGTAAGCCAATGACATGTCTTCTTAAACTTTCTGTGCTTTTTTTTTCAGTAAATGTTCATTTTTGGATGAATCATCCCTTTAAGTGCTAAAATTACAGTTTCCTATTTTAGCTAAATACAATGTAGCAGTCCTGTGTGTTTAGTCATTGTTTACGAGGACCAAGTATGTCTATTGGATGAGACTTAGCAGTAGACTATTGTTTTATTAAATCTGTGTGTTTCTTTATGGTTTATGAGGACACAGTATGTGTTGGTTTACAATGTTAGCAGTAGACTGTTGTTTTATAACGTGTGTGTTTCTTCATGGTTTATGAGGACATGATTGGTTTTGCAAGAGTTAAAGCTTTCAGTAAGCGAATGTCATGTTTTCTTCATCTTTCTTTACTTCTCTCCTTCAGCACCTCCATTAGCCAGTCACTTTGTCAAACACAAACAGAGCTGTCTTTTACAGAGGTTTGTTAATTCTTTTGTAATGCTATTTTGACACTCCTTAAAGGCATAGTTCACCCAAACAGTACAATTTTGTCATAATTTGCTCACCCTTTACTTGTTCCAAACCTTTATAGGTTTAATTCTTCTGTTAAAGACAAAATAAAGCACTTAAAAAATGGAAACCTGTAACCATTGACTTCCATATCATTTGTGTTTTCTATTGTGGAAGTCAATGATTGCAGGTTTTTTTCTTCCATCAAAATATCTTGTTTTTGTTGTTTATCAGAAGAAATAAACCCTTAAAGGTTTGGAACACTTGAGGGTAAATTCATAGTAAGGAAATGTTCATTTTTGGGTGAACCATCACTTTAAGTGCTAAAATGACAGTTTCCTATTTTTACTAAATGCAGTGTAGCAGTCCTGTGTGTTTAGTCATGGTTTATGAGGACCAAGTATGTCTATTGGATGTGACTTAGTAGTACATCCAATAGTAGGTTGTTATTTTATTAAATCTGTGTGTTTCTTCATGGTATATGAGGACACAGTATGTGTAGGTTTACATAGGTTTACATAGTGCTAGCAGTGCTATTATAACATGTTTCTTCATGGTTTATGAGGGCATAGTAAAGGGATAGTTCACCCAAAAGTACAATTGTGTCATCATTTGCTCACCATTTGCTTGTTTTAAATCTTTATGGGTTTATTTTTTCTGTTAAACACAAAAGAAGATACTTTGAAAAAAGGTGGAAACCTGTAACCATTGACTTTCATATTTTTTGTGTTTTCTATTATGGAAGTCAATGATTGCAGGTTTTCTTCTTCCATCAAAATACATTGTTTTGTTGTTTATCAGAAGAAATAAACCTATAAAGGGTTGGAATGCTTTTGGGTATATTAATAGTAAGTACATTTTCATGTTTGGATGAACCATCCTTTTAAGTGCTAAAATAACAGTTTCCTATTTCTGCTAAATGCAGTGTAGCAGTCCTGTGTGTTTAGTCATGGTTTATGAGGACCAAGTATGTCTATTAGATGTGACTTAGCAGTAGACTATTGTTTTATTAAATCTGTGTGTTTCTTCATGGTTTATGAGGGCAAACTTTGTAATGCAAAACCTAAAACAGTTAGTAAACGAATGTAAAATTTTCTTTATCTTTGCTTCTCTCTTTCAGTACCCCAATGAGCTAAATGCTTCGACAAACACAGAGTTGTCTTCTACAGAGGTTTGTTAATTCTTTTGTCAAGCTGTTTAAACACTCCTTAAAGGGATAGTTCACCCAAAAATGACAATTATGTCATCGTTTGCTCACCCTTTACTTGTTCCAAACGTTTAAAGGTTTAATTATTTTCTTTAAAGACAAAATAAAATACTTTAAAAAAGATGGTAACCTGTAACCATTGACTTTTATATATTGTTTTTTTCTATTGTGGAAGTCAATGATTGCAGGTTTTTTTCTTCCATCAAAATATCTCGTTTTTGTTTTTTATCAGAATTAATAAACCCTTAAAGGTTTGGAACACTTGAGGGTAAATTCATAGTAAGGAAATGTTCATTTTTGGGTGAACCATCACTTTAAGTGCTAAAATGACAGTTTCCTATTTTTACTAAATGCAGTTTAGCAGTCCTGTGTGTTTAGTCATGGTTTATGAGGACCAAGTATGTCTATTGGATGTGACTTAGCAGTAGGTTGTTGTTTTATTAAATCTGTGTGTTTCTTCATGGTATATGAGGACACAGTATGTGTAGGTTTACAATGGTTTACATAGTGCTAGCAGTAGACTATTATAACATGTTTCTTCATGGTTTATGAGGGCATAGTAAAGGGATAGTACACCCAAAAATGACAATTGTGTCATCATTTGCTTACCCTTTACTTGTTTTAAATCTTTATGGGTTTATTTTTTTTTGTTAAACACAAAAGAAGATGGAAACCTGTAACTATTGACTTTCATATTTTTTGTGTTTTCTATTATGAAAGTCAATGATTGCAGGTTTTCTTCTTCCATCAAAATATCTTGTTTTTGTTGTTTATCAGAAGAAATAAACCCATAAAGGGTTGGAATGCTTTGGGGTATATTAATAGCAAGTACATTTTCATTTTTGGGTGAACCATCCATTTAAGTGCTAAAATAACAGTTTCCTATTTCTGCTAAATGCAGTGTAGCAGTCCTGTGTGTTTAGTCATGGTTTATGAGGACCAAGTATGTCTATTGGATGTGACTTAGCAGTAGACTATTGTTTTATTAAATCTGTGTGTTTCTTCATGGTTTATGAGGACACAGTATGTGTAGGTTTACAATGTTACTAGTAGACTGTTGTTTTATAACGTGTGTGTTTCTTCATGGTTTATGAGGACATTATTGGTTTTGCAAGACTTAAAGCTTTCAGTAAGCGAATGTCATGTTTCCTTCATCTTTCTTTACTTTTCTCTTTCAGCACCTTCATAAGCCAGTTGCTTTGACAAACACAAACAGAGCTGTCTTCTACAGAGGTTTGTTAATTCTTTTGTAATGCTATTTTGACACTCCTTAAAAGGATAGTTCACCCAAAAATGACAAATTTGCTCATCCTTCACTTCCTTCAATCTGTGTTTCTTCATGGTTTATGAGGACACAGTATGTGTAGGTTTACATGGTGCTAGCAGTAGACTATTATAACGTGTGTTTCTTCATGGTTTATGAGGGCATGGTTTGTTATGCTTGACTTTAAAAGTAAGTAAACGAATGTTGAATTTTCTTTATCTTTGATTTTCTGTTTCAGTACCTCCATGAGCCAGTCGCTTTGACCAACACAGAGTTGTTTTCTACAGAGGTTTGTTAATTCTTGACAAAAGAATTAACAAACCTCTGTAGAAAACAACTCTGTGACTGGCTCATACCCAAAAATGACAAATGTGTCATCATTTGCACACCCTTTATGGGTTTATTTTTTCTGTTAAACACAAAAGAAGATGGAAGATGAAAACCTGTACTCATTGACTTCCATATTTTTGGTGTTTTTATTTTGGAAGTCAATGATTGCAGGTTTTCTTCTTCCATCAAAATGCCTTGTTTTTTGTTTAACAGAAAAAAATAAACTCGTAAAGTAGAAAAGTCCAATAGTACGAAAAATAATAACATGGAAGTCAATGAGTGCACGTTTTAATTTATTAAGAAAATAAACTAATAATAATTAAAATAATAAAATAATTTAAATAAGTGAATAATAATGTTTCTCTCACTTTCTCCCTTCAGCAAATAACAGGTGAATCTTGACAGAAATCCAGGAAGCCAGACAGTGATAGTGGTGATGGTAAGAATTTCTGTCAATAACAATGCAGGAAGAAACTAAGTAACTAAAATTACTTTGAAAATAATGTGCATTTTAGGCCTTTTTTATTTTAAGCAAATTTTAAGCATGATCTAAAGGGTTGAGTTTATTTTCTCAATGAGTTATAGGTGTATTTTGAGAATAAACCAATCAGAGTCTCATCTCCCATTCCCTTTAATAGCCTTGCATCGTGCCATAAGCGCATTTGCTATTTACATGACGTAAAGTAAGTTTAAGTGGAAAAACTGAGCATTTCACAAGCAAACAGTTAACAGTTATTTTTAACAGAAAACTGTTAAACAGAGCATCTACCGCGCGAGAATGAGAGATAAATGATACTACTTTCTACTTTCTACTTTCACTTTCGCTCTTGGTGGATAGGAAAATCTTTACGCACAGACATCAGTTAGCCTAATAATAATAATTAATTGCGTTTGTTAAGCGCAAATAATTGTTTCAAAACTATTTCTAAATGCAGTTCTAAATTCCAGCAAATGAATAAATGAACAATAATAACTAAGTGTTGTCATAAACCTGAGTTATATCCTAAAACACATGTTGCCCGCATATGGTCTAACGCCTGTTTCACACCGCAAGCGTCAGCGGCGCGTGAGCAGAGCGTGAGCAGCGCGTGTGTTTTCGGCGTCCATGTTAACAGATTAGAGCTTTCATACCGCACGCAGCAGCAGCGCGTCAGAGCGAGGCGTGAGCGTCGCCAAAGCAGCAGTGCAGCGATAGTTTCGGCGCTGGGTCTATTTTTGACTCGCTGCTCACGCTCAATTAAAGTGACAGTGCATTGAGAATGACCAAAACACATTGAATGACAGTAAAAAGTAGCAATTTTACCCAATAAATGCGTTAATAATGTCAAATGGTTTATATATATATAGTCATTAAAGTTAACTTAAAACGATTAAAAACGGCAACAAACATTTATTTAGGCCCGAACTACAAAACCAAATGTAAAACAATTTTACTATCAGTTTTGCTAAAGTTGCACACTAGTGTTGTAGGAGAGGGGAAATGGAATATTTACGGGATTTGTAGTCCATAGCGCAGTGTATTGTGGGTAGTGTAGTTCGACACGCATGCTGGATGATGTGAGCTCGCTGTGTTCTGTGCAGCTGAGCAGAGGAAGAAAGTTTTAATCGGCTTTGTTTTATGTTCACTCTAGTTATTCCTACCGGGAGCTGTTTGCACTGTGAATCTGACAACATGAAAATAAGTAAAAGAATGGCATGCATTGGTTACTTTTGTCCATCTCATCATCTGCACGAGCATGAATTAACGAGCTGTTATTCTGCCGCTGGACATCACTGAAGCGGAGAAAGTAACACTAGTTTGATCATGTATAAATATCATTATAACTATATTGTATAAATATGATTATAACTAGGTCTACAGCAACCTGATAATCAAATAACAAATGACATGATAGCACTGGCGATTGTCTTCTGACTGTAGACACTTCTCATATAAGTTAGCTTGAGAAGCATACAGTACTATTTGATCTATAAAATTTGTAAAATAATAATTTGCAGGTTAAAGAAACAGCATAGGAGGGGCTTTGGTGCAGATGAAAAGTTTAAAAAGTGTATTTGTAAATAGAGAGACATGGGTAACTAGATAGAATAGACAGAGATAGGTTGATCTCTGCAGCAGCTGCCGAAGAGCTGCGCGCTGCAGACGCAGCTGGTGTGAAAGGCAAACGCCTGCGTGCTGCTACTGCTCGACATACGCGCTGCTCACGCTCTGCTCACGCGCCGCTGACGCTTGCGGTGTGAAACAGGCATAAAACCTGACAGGTGGGCAAATCTACGCTTTTTTTTAATAAAACAAATATAAATATGGATATAATAATTAATACTGCTAATAATAACATACAAAAGCAAATTGTTATGAATGAACTGAAAATAACTATTGCGTCGCGCATTGCGCCACATTGCGCCGGGTGTATGATAGGGCCCTTAAGTGCAATGAGGGTTAATTTTGGAAAATAGAATTAAAGAAATAAAAGCTAACTAAAATGAAAGCACAAACACATAGTAAAAACAAATAAGTAGGCCTAAATAAATAAATAAAGCAGTGTTTTAGCCAAAATATAAAGAGATGTTCAGTGTTTGCTGTTTTGATAGGACTAAGACAGTCATTAAATAAGCTTTTTCATTTACGTTTTTATTTACATTTTCGTTGTTGATTATACTTTACTATCTCATTTTATGTCTAAATTATTGTACATAACAATAAATGAATAATAAAAAATAAATGAATAATAAAAATAGGCCTAAATAATTATTTATTTAAAGACATTGCGGCGAAACACTGAGAAACGGTCCAGTGCATGATCTAAAGAGCTTAAGTTGAATGCTACTTCATCAAAAGCATAAAAATAAATTGACCTACCTCAAGCAGATCACTAAAAGTATAATACAAATAGTTTTGCCGCAAGACATAAATTAAGTTTCACAAGTTTATTTTTAATAATTTAGTTTCAGTTCAGTTCTGTTTTTTTTTCTTTTTTTTTCTTCAAAACGTAGCCTATACAGTAGCTGTAAATACTCTTCTATTTGTAAATAAAGATAAACAATGAAACAAAGCATTATAATTTCTTCATTAATCAATACATACTTGTGAACAAGTTTATTATCATTGTAAACTTGTTAAGTTCAATGAGAATTCATTATAAAATTAAAGAATAAAGAAGACATAAAGAATTAAAAGACAACTAAAATGAAAGTACAAGCATAAATGCAATGAGTAGGCCTTATTAAATAAAGCAGTGTTTTAGCCTAAATATAGAGAGATAAACAGTGTTTGTTATTTTAAAGTGATAGGACTAAGATGGTCAATAAATAAGCTTTTTATTTACCTATTCATTCACAGTTTTAATTTACATTTTGTTGATTATATTTTACTCTTATTTTTACCTATTAAAAATCTTATTTTTTTTCTTATTATTACTCTTATTTTACTTTTATTATATTTATATTTTACTATGTTATGTTATTTTGTCTCAATTACTGTACATTAATAGCAAATTAATATTTAAGTAGGCCTAATTATTTATTTAAAAACATTACCAGCGAAATACTGAGAAACGGTCTGGCGCTATTTTTATATACAGGCCTATCATAATTTTAAAGAAAGCTGCAAGGTGTGCTACATTATTTTAAATTATTTTTTCTGTCTGTTACTTGAAGTTCAGTGCGTGTGCGTGTGCGCTGAGAGACAACAAGGCAATATTGACAAAATATTGAATTTTGTTTTTTATATTGCATTGCATTAATTTGCAGAGATGTTTTATAGTTTATACAGGCCTAAAATAAACGCTTTGGTACAGAGTTATTATTTTAAAACAAACCTGTGTTTGTAATATTGGATGTAGGTGTCACAAAATACTTTTTAAATCAGTGTTTTTATTAATATGATTATTATTTATTGTGAACAACACTTAATAAATACTGAAATGTCCTTAATACACACCTTATTTTTTTATCAATTACAGTGCTTCCCGCTAGGGCTGCTCTATTATGGGAAAAATCATAATCACGATTATTTTGGTCATAATTTTAATCACAATTATTCAAAATGATTATCAGTTCAAGTCAAAATTATTAGGGCTCCTGTGAAATTATTTTTTATAAATATTTCCCAAATGATGTTTAACAGATTCAGGAATTTTTCACAGTATTTCCTATAATATTTTTTCCTTTGGAGAAAGTCTTATTTGTTTTATTTCAGCTAAAATAAAAGTAGGTTTAAATATTTTGAAATCTATTTTAAGGTCAATATTAATAGCTCCCTTAAGCAAAATAGTTTTTGATGGTCAGCAGAAGAAATTACTGGTATACAATGACTTGCCTAATTATCCTAATTAAGCCTTTGAATCGTACTTTAATCTGAATGCTTGTATTTTGAAAAATATCTAGTAAAATATGTGCTGTCATCATAACAAAGATGAATGAAATCAGTTATAAAAAATTAGTTATTAAAACTATTATGTTTAGAAATGGTTAAAAAAAAATTGTCTTTCCATTAATCAGAAATTGGAGGGAAAAGGGTTGCTAATAATTCAGGAGGGCTAATAATTTAGATTTCAACTGTATTCATTTATTTTCCTCCCTGCAAAGGAAAGGGAAATATGTACAATAGAATAAAAATATGAAACAAACTGTGCTTTAAGCATCTTCACTGTAAAAAAAAAAAAAACTTTGATTATAGCTACTAAAGTCCTTCAGTCAAGAACAGTGAGGGATTGTCTTCTTTTGTTGTTTGATTAATGGTAAAAACAGTCGGCAGCAGGAATATCACACACTTTCACTTTAAGAGCAGTACGGTTCTGATTTATGGTTTCTCTTTCACATGTCTTTTGATTCTCAACTCGTTTGTTTATTACATAAATGAGAGTTAATATGAATAATCACTGAACATCGCGTTTTGATACCTATTTGACCATTAAAATGCTCACATTAAGATAACTTTAGATGTGTGTGCTTTGCTCTGAGCACACAGTGTGCGAATATGTGTGTGCCGCATACACACACCATGCGGTCTCATTCATGCTTTTAAAACATGAATGATTCGAATGTACATCAATGAATGATGCACATGCCGTGCTGCAAAATTACAATGCATGCTTTTAGTAATATTCACGTGAAACTGAGCTTTGCAGAGCAACAAATGTGTACAACTGAAAAGAGGACGATATATGATGCAACAATCTTTTTATCTCGATTAATGATTTTCATATTCGTTTGAAGCCATAATCAAAATCGAATTTTCGATTAATTGCATAGCCCTACTTCCCGCATGTTTATAATATACTTGCGGTGGTAGCAGGCCCGGCGCCAGGATATCATAACTGAGGAGGCATTTTAATCCCATGACTAATTTTGGTCCCTCTTGTTCCTTTCATTTAGGCTATTTATTCACATTAATTATTACTTTGCATTACTGCCTAAGTTACTGACTCAAGGCAGTAATATACTTTTTTATAGTAATAATGATATGCAGTTTTGCTA